AAGGACACTTAGCCCAGCAGCTCTCGGTGATAACCTGCTTGTTAACACAGCCCTCATCAGCTCATTTCCACTCCATTTTCGACATTCCTTTCTCCTTCTTGTGCTTCTTGGGATCACCACCCAAATTAGCTACCTGCACACAAATCCTTGTCTCAGGATCTGCATTTAGGAGACCAGAGCTAAGCTAACTTCCTCCTGGCAGTCATGGCAACATCTACAGCCCTGGTAGCTGGGTAGGGGGTTGATGCTGCCCTGGGCTAGTTCTTCTTTTGTTGCCCTTTGATCTGCTTCCACATCCCACGCCTTCCACCCTGTTGTGTGCTGGAGTAGTTGCTTCCTTTTAGTCCAACTGATACACTAGTTAAAAAGACTTTGATACTCTCCACCAATGCTCAGAGATGGTCTTTCAAGGGCTGAACCTGGCTGCTGAATCTACAGTATTCCCCATGTGCCATTAACAACTTCTACCCTGGCTTGGGGGAATGAGTGATTGATCACAGGCCTGAGACCAGGACCTTTCCATCATTTCATCCATCCTCTAATCTCACATGTAAGAAAATTGAGGGCAGAGAGGGTAAGCATTCGCTCACACCTTGTCCATCAGAGAATAAGAACTCAGATCTCTGACCCTTCAACCTATGCTTTTCCCCTTCTAAGCTTTTCTTGAACATAGCCCATCATCTTTTTCCTTGTTTGACTCAGTTCCTCTTGCTCACCAATACTTTCATTATTTATTTCCAGTTGACCTAAGTCCTCAATGACCCTGAACACTTCAGTTACATCCATGCAGTCCTCTGCCCTCCTTGTCCTGCTCCATTCTGAGGTTGAAAATCTGTTTCCCTCATTAGTTTTGCAACAAAGAAAAACCTAGGAAATAAGTATAGTGATAAGCAGTGGGATTGTCATTGTCCATCTAATGCTCTTGCATAATTAAGCTCTCCCTGGAATTTCTATGCCGGGTGTGAAAGGACTGCTAGTCTGGCCCATTGTACCCCAGGAGATGGACATTTACAGCCCACAGCCTGCTGAACTCAGGTCAGCTCATCTGCCATCTAAGCTCTGGGGAGCCAAGGCCAACCTGTGTCTGGCTGGACCTGCTTGATAGTCTGGGCTCTGCTGCAACCTCCACATTGAGACCTTGAGTCAGCTTTATCTTCTGGTTCCACTTAACCTGTCTCACTCTCTTGCTCAGGATTCTCTGAACTGAGTCCTCTGTCCACTGTGGCCAGTTGCCTCATTCTTTTACATTCTCAATCTCTGTCTAAGCAAACCATTTTTTTTTCTGACCTAAAATGCGAATTTTCCAACTATCACCTTGATTATCTTTTTGGGTGGGTTTATTTTGTGTCTTTAAATAGATTCTCAAGGACAAGGGCCATGACAAGTCTACTTCCCAGCATCATGTACTACACAAGGCTTATTATGGACTGAATACTTGTGTCTCTTCCTGCTCCCAATTCATCTGTTGAAGCTCTAACCCCCAGTGTGGCTATATTTGGAGGCAGTGCCTTTCAGTAATTAAGGTTAAACAAGGTCATAAGGGTGGGGCCCTGATCAATAGGATTAGTGCCTTTATAAAAAGAGACACCAAAGAGATCATTCATTTTCTCTCTCTCTCCCTCTCCTCTCAAGCATGCACCAAGAAAAGGCCATGTGTAAATATAGTGAGAAGGCAGCTAGCTGTCTGCAAGCCAAGAAGAGAGCTCTTCAGAAGCTAAATTGGTCAGAACCTCGATCTTGGACTTCTAGCTTCCAGAACTGTGAGAAAATAAATTTCTGTTATTTAAGCCTCCCAGTCTATGGTAGTTTGTTATGGCAGCCCAAGCTAATACATGTCTATTGACTGAAAACATGGCCCCTACCCTGGGAACTGGAGTGAAGTTTTGAGCTGGGAACATGTATACTGCTCCTGTGTGACATGTTAATTAAGTTTGGTTTTGAGTTCGAAACCAAATCTTCCTTTGTCACTACCATCCTTTCCTCGGTTTGTGACAGCATCTTCCCAAGTGTGAACAAGGCTCCAAACCACAAGCAAATCTCTTACCTCTTTGTCTATACTGCCTTCTGACATCCTGTCAGATGTCAAATCTTAGAGAAATCTACTGTCTCAAGATCTCTCACATCTCCTGTCACTAGGCCTTATTACCCTGGCTCGGGCTCTTGCCTCTTACTAATCTCCAGTCTTCATCTAGCACGCAGAAGAGGAAATGGAGGCTAAAGGTTAAGAAACATGTGCAAAGTTGCACAACTGATAAATAATAGAACTAGGGTTCAAAACCAGTTCAGTTTTGTCCCAAATCCAGAATACTTTCCACTAGGTCTGTTTAGTGCTGTCTCCATAATGCTAGAATTTACATTGTTCTGCTTTGTACTATGGCTATTTTTGAAATTCTCTTATGCCCATTATCAGATTGTAAGCTCTCTGAGGGTAGGCTGTCTTGATCTTCCTGATATCTGGGGCAATGGCTAAGCCAGTGCCTGGTACTGGGTAGACACTTGAAGAATAGGTACTGAGTTGAAAGTGGGAGAAAACTGTTGCAACAGAGAACAGGAACCAGCAGCTGAGGAGACAGATTTAGAGAAAGTGTAAGAGAAGGAATAGATGATTCTGAGTTGGGCTTGAGGTGATGGAAGGAATTTGGACAGACAGAAAGGAAGGTGGTCATCTGAGGTGGGCCTCAATGCCTTGGATTCAGAGTTGAACCTATGGAAGGAGGCTACCTTGGTGGGTCCTGGTGTTTCTGCATCAGGTCTAGCTGTGCACACTGAGCAAGTTACTTAACTTCCTTGGATGTTGGTTTCCTAATATGCGAAGTGGAAAAAATAAGAGTACATTTGGGGTTAATGTGAAGAATAACAAGATAAAACATGCAAAGGACTTAGCACATTCTCTGTGTTATCTATTGTTAACAATAAACATTAAAATATTATGAATAATAATATGGTTTGAAAATTCAAATGTATACCAGTTTAGTTCTCTGAGTAAATTATTTAACTTACACTCATAGATAATGCCATTACTATTGACTGATAAAAAACAAAATCATTAGAAAGCACCAATAAATTCCCAGGGACATTTTAGTTTCTGATTTACCTAATCAATGGACACCAGGAACCTCTGAATATATTTTAGCCTTACAAGGGATTCTCAAAGTCAAAAGTATAGAAAACCAAACTATTGGGAAGCAGGAAAGTCTAAACCTATTCTGGGTAGAGGAGACTAACTTAACTGAATCAGAGACCTGTATTTTTGAGAATAGGCTAACCTTATGAACATCCCTGTTCCACTTCCAGGCTGTGCTTTTAAGGAACTTGGGCACATTCCTTATCTTCCAGTACTTTGGTTTCCTTACCTAAAATGAGGTAACATTACCCAAGGGCTGTAAATGGAGTACTCTACTTAAAGCACTCAACAGGAGGGGTGTGTGTGTAGGTGGGGTAGAGACACAATTTATGCATAAGAATTGGAAGATAATGATGATGGTGATGATGTTTGTGAAGCCCAATCATGAAGGAAGGGCCTTGGATTTCTATCTCAGCGAGGCGGCTCTTCTCAATGTGTGATCACTACAGACAGCAACTTTAGCTTCATTTGAGAACCTGTTAGACATGCACATTCTCAGGCCCTCTCCAGACCCCTTGAATCAGAAACTCTGTTGGGGGGAGGGGCGGTCCAGCAATCTGTACTTTCAAAATCCCTCCTGCTGATTCTGATGCACTCACATTTTGAGAACACCTGCTATAAGGTAATAGAGAGCCACTGAACGTTTTGGATGATGGGGAATACAAATGATTGTTGATGGAATACGATTAAACTGCCTAACTACCTATTAGCTTCTGTGGTTGCTGGAAGAAACCTGTTTGTCGATCCTCAGTGATCTCCAGGTACAAAACTTGGGTTAGTACTTAGGGCCCCAAACCCAATGCTCACCTACTACTAAGCGCTGCCAGGAACGCGGCACCAGGCAACCACAGGAGCTATTTTGGACTTGGCCGGGTAGCCAAGTGATGCTCAGCGAATCCCGCAACTACAGCCCTGTCACGGATTTAGCCTGGAAAAGAAGGGAAAGAAAAAGAAAACCGTGTAGGTAAACCGGAAATGAGGGTCTTTAGGGTATACTCTCGGGAGGTGGTGGTGGGGGATGGGAGCGGTGGGGGCAGGCGCGAGGGAGGCCCCTCCTCCGCTAGGGTACACCGGGGTCGGGTCCCTTCAGAGCCGGGCGCGGCGGGCCGGCTGGGCGGGACACACCCTCTCCTCGGGAGACGCGAGGTCCGTCCGCCTCTTTGCATTTGGGTCCAGGTCAATTTCCTTTCATTTATTGTTCCTGCGAGGTAGGGGCGTTTTCTCACCCTGAGTACCTCTCGGGGAAATCCCAGCCCGTCTCATCCCTGCTCCTGCCATTTTCAAGAGCGCCGAGCGGGGTCGAGCGCCGAGGCCCCACCCTGGGCGCCGGGCGTCGTGTCGGGCAGCTGCCCGCGCTGCCCGCGGCCGGGCTATTGTTCGGGCCCCACCCCTGATGAATATTCACGCCGCGCGGGCGCCTCGCCCCGCGCCCTCCCCGGCAGGGCTCCGGGGTGTGAGTGCCTTTCCGCCCGTTTTTCCTGCCGGAGAAGGAAAGGGGGAGCTGTTTTCTCTCTCCTCAGAATATATTTTTGGTGTCCCGTTTCTCCTCCTCCCGCGCCGCCGCTGCCGCCCCCTCCCTCCCCACATCCCTCCCCGCCTCCGCCTCCGCCTCCCGGGTTATCTTTGTCTCGCTGCCTCGCGCTCGCTCGCTCAACTCTCGGCGGCGCCGCGGCCCCACGCTCCGGGCCCGTCCTCGAGGCGCGCGGCGCGGGGCGCGGGCGCCGGGCCTGAGGCGGGCGACGCCGGGCCTGACGGCCGGCCCGCGCCATGGTGTGAGCGCCGCCGCCGCGCCCGCGCACGCTCTGTCCGCCCCCGCGCGGCCGGTCGGCCGAGAGCCGCGAGCGGCCCGCGAGCGCGGCCGAGCCCGACGCCGCCGCCGCCCCCATCCCCGGGCCCCGAGGAGAGTCCCCGGCCAGCGCGGCTGCCGCGCGCGGAGCGCCGTCGGTGGCCCGGCCTGCGGCTGAGACACTCAGAGCAATAGAGATATTTATTGTTATTATTTGTTTTTTGGTGGCAAAAAGGGAAAATGGCGAACGACTCCCCTGCAAAAAGTCTGGTGGACATCGACCTCTCCTCCCTGCGGGTGAGTGGGCCCACGGGCGGGCGCGCGGGGAGCGGGCGGCGGGGGCCGCGCCCTGGCCGGCCGGGCGCTCGGGCGCCGCTGTGGGCAGAGCCGCGGGCGCGGCGGCCCCTTTGTCTGCCTGTGTCGGCATGTGCGGGGACGCGGGGCGCGACCCTTCGCCGCCCCCCGCGCCCGGGCCACCGAGCCCTGCGCCCCCGGCCCGCCGCGCGACCCTCAGGCGCTGGGGGACTGCACCGGGCGAAACCCACCTCTTTTGTCACCGCCCTTTCTCTCCAACTGCCCTGCTTTATTTCATTTTTTTGTCCTCTTTTAAATTATAACCCCTCCCCTCCTTCCTCTCCAGGATCCTGCTGGGATTTTTGAGCTGGTGGAAGTGGTTGGAAATGGCACCTATGGACAAGTCTATAAGGTCGGTGTGGGCGCCTTCTTTGTTTCCCGTGGCATATTGAAACTTCTTGTTGGGGAACGAGGAAAAGGGTGATAAACACGCTGCTCGCTGAAAACCACGCTGCTTGGCCAAAGTTGGGAAAAGGGTTTCTCCTTGCAGTCCCTCTGTTTTTGCACACCGAGTTTATATTCAGACTGGCCTTAAAAGACCTCATTTCCTGGCTTTGAGATAAGGAAATAAGCTACACTCTTAGGCATGCACTTTTCTTCAGTAAAATGGAAAAGGATTTTTTTTATCATAAGACAACCTGAATTTTTTCTTCTTTCCTCCAAATCTGGCCTTTTGAGTTTGTGTGTGAATTAAAATTTAGTGTACACAGGCCTTGCCTGTGATGGTCCCAAACCTCTGCCTTGGCTTTCTTGAAAATTGTCATCATGTTTCCTCCTTTGAATGCTTGCCAAGTGCTCAAGGTGGGGAGTTTGGGGCTACCTGGCACTAGTTTATAACTGGCTGTCATACCCTCTACTGAGAGATACATATTTTGGGGAAGCAGGGAGGAGTGTTTGTTTGGGCAATGAGAGCAGGAAGAATTACAATGTGGGGATTATAAAATCTGAATTCCAGGAATAACCTGTTTGACAGCTGTGTAATTGAAACAGAAATAAGGGAGAGTGGGGAGTAAAGAGGATGCTCTGGTTTCACACCCACCCAGCTCTTTCTCTTTTTAAAAATCTTAACACCCTCTCCCCCCCCCCCCAACGTAAATGAAACACAAATCTGGAGACTATGAGTCTGTGCTGAGTAGCTGACACCTGATGTGACTAACAGTGTTGTTCATTTTATCCAGTGCACACTCCAGAGATTATGAAAGAGCTGTAGGTAATGGAGGTGCAGGCCTTGAAAATTCAAAACAGAATGTTAAATTCTCCGTGTCTTGGTTTGTTTCTTTTTACTAAATGTTTTCTGAAAGTTATCTGCACTAGGAGACTTTTCTAGCTGTTAGAGTGGATAGAAAAAAATAACTTAAGCAGGGCTTTGTGGTTCACCATGAAGAACTGTCATTGTCTCATTAAAAATGGGGGAGGGGGGAGCTGACTGTAGACATTTTCTTAGGCCAGATTAAGTGTGGATCCTATTGTCTCTTTTCTGCTTTTTGCATAGGGTTTATCTGTTGCTTGAACGCCTCTCCCTAGCCCCAACTTCCCTTGGCCTGGGCAGTGTACTAACTGGCCTGTGGTCTGAACTTGAGTCAGTATTCTTAGGTGATCTCGAGTGAATTAGCATGTGTTTTGTTGGTTAACTGTTGGGGCTAGGGCCAGATTTTTGAATTTGAAAGAGAGCCTTGTTAACTCAGCCTGCTGGGCTCAACTGAATTTGGAAGGCTTTGGAAAATTTTGGAAAAGATTGGGTTGCAACTTACTGAGTGTCTGGTAACTGGCTTAAAAACATTCTCCCCAATCCTAGTGTTTGTTTAAAATAGTTTGGTTTTTTTCTAACCCAGTTTTTCTGGCCAAATCTAAGTGGTGAGTGTACTCTTCCAAGTGAGTTAGCCAGAGCTTGTTTTTGACCTGGTTACACAGTAGTGGGTTTGTTTGTGTCTTATTTGGTCAGATTGGATGTTAAGGGGAGTGAAATAGGCTGGAAGGCAACAGTTTGTTTTTAAACCATAAGAAAACAGAAAGAATGAAACTGGAGTGTGTATTACTTGGTTTTAAGAGGTAGGCGCTCTATGGTAAGAATTTGGGCAGGTTGTCATTTCCCTTCATTTCCTTTTTGGTTCCATCCCCTGTTCATCCCAAGCTTTTGAAGTAGAATTGCTGAGCACATACATTTGGGAAGTATTTGGGATAATGTCAGTGACATAGCTCTCTAGTTACAAAGTCTGTACAGTTGAGGAGAAATTCTGTAATTATGCAAACCTAAAGTATTAAGAAATCTATGCAAAAGTTGCATACAATTCAGAACAAAGTAGTGCTTGAGATTTTGCTCACAAGCAGTTACTTTTTTTATATCGTGGAAATTTTCAAACATATGCAAAGAGAAAGAGTAGATAGCTTAGTTTAACAGTTATCAGCACATGACTGATCTTATTTTATCTATATTCTTCCTCTTCTACTTTTATCTTAATGTAAACTCCAGATACCATTTTAGCCGTAAATACTTTAGTATGTTTCTTGTTTGTTTTTTACATAATCACAATGTCATTTTCACACTTAGAAAAATATCAACTGCCCAGTGTTAACATTTTTCTGATTGTCTCATACATATTTTCTGACTATCCCAAGAAGTTCTTTAATGTTTACAAACAGTTACTGGGAACTTTAATCTTAGAGATGGTGAAAACAGCAGAGCATCTCTGTTTTTTGCTTTTTAAATGTATAATTTCTTGAACCAGTAACCATTATGCATACAGGTTAATTTAGCATTTTTGTTGGCATGATTTACTTGTAGTGGTTTTGGGATTAGATTATTAACACTAGACTTTGTTTATTGCTACTAAACATCCTGTAGTATGACTAGCATCAGAGTTTGGAAAATATTTGCTACCAATTTCTTATTTATAAAGAAGTCTGCTTTTGAAACAAAACTTCAGGTAAAACACCTGGAAACGTAACAATCTGTATTTCCTAATTTATTTCAGTGTTATATTTTCTGTTTTTGTTTTTTAGTTTTTAGTGACAGAGGTCGCTTGTGTTGTGGCAACTATGTTTTTGTGGAGCAAATAAGTAGGGAGAGAGAATTTTCTGAGTTTGGATATGTTGCATGAAAACAGCTTTTTTAATACAGGTGTCTCAAAAGTTGCCATACATAGGGAAAAATGGGAAATTGTAGCTAAATGTACTTTTATTTTAAAAAATATTCATTACAGAATTTTTTCCTTTGCATGGAGACTTTTGGCACACCCTGTATAGTTGAACAGTGTATACTTTATCTTAAAAGACAGAATTGAAGCCAAATGTGGTGGTGCATGCCTGTAGTCTCAGCTGTTTGGGAGGATGAGGCTAGAGGTTTGCTTCAGCCCTGGAGGTTGAGACCAGCCTGGACGACAGAGTGACACTATGACTTAAAAAAAAAAAAAAAAGAAAAAGAAAAAAGAGGGAGAGAGGGAATTGGAAAACAGGGTAGACAGGGTATATTTTGTTTAGAGACATTTATTTTTCCCTTAGGTTTTTGAGGGATGGTAGGGAAGGATAACTCATAAATTAAAAACTTTTTAAAAAAAGTTTTGAATTTCTATTCACAAGGTTACTTTCAGAATGTCATATATTTATAAAAGAAGTGTTTATAGCATGATTGCATGCATGTCTGCTTACTGATTCCCCATGTTGAATAAGTATAGTGAATTATAATATTTTCATCCATGGGGACAATGACAGTGTGGAAAATTAAAACCAGAAACAAATCACATTTATTTCCATGTTATTTTTTTTTTTTTTTTTTTTTTTTTTGAGACAGTGTCTCGCTTTGTTGCCTAGGCTAGAGTGAGTGCCGTGGCGTCAGCCTAGCTCACAGCAACCTCAAACTCCTGGGCTCAAACAATCCTTCTGCCTCAGCCTCCCAAGTAGCTGGGACTACAGGCATGTGCCACCATGCCCGGCTAATTTTTTCTATATATATTAGTTGGCCAATTAATTTCTTTCTATTTTTATAGTAGAGACAGGGTCTCGCTCTTGCTCAGGCTGATTTCGAACTCCTGACCTTGAGCAATCCGCCCGCCTCGGCCTCCCAGAGAGCTAGGATTACAGGCGTGAGCCACCGTGCCCGGCCTTCCATGTTATTTTGTATTTTATTATTATTTTTAATATTTATTTGACCATTTTATGTTTTCTTGGGGTAACTACTATATTATATTTTGTGTGCATGTGATGGCTGGTGTTGCAAACTATCTTGAATAGAAGATTGCCACCCTGAGGAGGATAATTCTAGGTCTTTAAAGGACTGTAGAGGGCCAGGTGGAATCTGGTAACAGTAACATGGCAGTTAGGATGTTTTGAATCTAGCCGGTGAAATGTCTGAAATCAAGGGTCACTCAAGGGAGGGACCGTAGACTTTATGGGAGGACTGACCCTGTCTGACCTTGTCCTCAGAGGAAAGGTCTGTAGACCTTGGAGGTTAAGGAGGAAGCTCTCCTAGGCCCAGAGACCTGGGTGGTTAGGGGAGCTAACATTGAGCATTTGCCCATTAGGCACTGTGCTAACACTGTACCTGTCGGTTGTTGAAGAAAGACGGAGGAGGTATGTGTGGCAGAGGGGGTTAAGAGTGACCTTTGGAATGGCAAGAGGATTGGGGAGTAGTGAGAATCTCAGAGAGAGGTTATTTGGGTTTGAGTTGAGGAGGAACATTGTTCTTTAAGCATTGAGGAGCCAATGAAAGGTTTTGCTGGGATTGGGGATCCCTGGGAGTAGGAAACTTGATCAGATGATGTTTTGGGAAAGAGCAGTAAGATGGTTGGCCTAGGACAGTGATCCAGAGAGTTGGGGTGAAGACTGAGACAGGGTGGTGGCAGTGCTGGCAGAGAGGAGGAGAGGTTAGGGTGTATACTTGGCTATTCTTCCTGCCCTTAACTTGATGAATTCACTTATTCTCTGCAGACTTTGGTGTGGCCCTTTAAATGGGTACACTGCCCATTAGATTAGGAGGAGCCTTGGGATTAAGAGGGTGAAAGTACTAAAATTACTTTTGATTACTCAGTGATAAAGTGCCATATAGATTGTCTGGCTTTTAAAAATCATTAGCCTAGCATTTTGGAGCAAGTACTTAAACTTCTGTGAGCTATTCTCTAAATGTTATCTTTTAAGGGTAGCATTTCTTATTCTAAATAGGAGATAAAGACATCCACCAGGACAAAATGAATTTTGTAGAACTAGATGTTTTCAGTAGGAGGTGGATTGTATCAGCTGGTCTGCCACGGAGTGACATGTTCAGGCTTGTTCTGAGACATAGATTTCCTTCATACTAGAAGGTTCTGGACTTGGGTAAGGTGGGAGGAAGGCAGCCCTGTTGAACAAGTATTGGTGCGT